CTCTATTTAAAACTCAAGTTAATCTTCAGGGAATTGTGGTCTCTCACTAAACATCATTGTCTGACTTCATTTTATTAATATTGATAATAACACCTTAAAGTGATATAATATGATCGAAAACATTTGGATGTAAAAAGCGTTATCGGAAAGGTGACCATTTACATTACACCCATTCCTTATACCAATTTATCGAGTCAGTTCTGAGAACCGTTCTCAGATCACCTCCCTGAGGTGGGCAAGAATTGGAACGGCTCTAAGTTTACATTACACAAAATTCTGTTCCAAGAACAGATACATTTTGTTAGGTAAAAGGGGTTCTAGTCATCTTAAAATAATCAGTTTATAATGTTCAGTTTCAGCCATATGTATCACTTTTAATCTGACACTTGATTTTGACCACAATTATGATTAAATACTTAGAAACATTATACAGAACAAAGGGCCTTATGTGATAAAGCACTTAGTTTTAAATAAATCGCAGGAACCACAGATATCTGATTGAAAACTAGAATGGTGCAAATGAACCATACACTTAACAAATTTTAAAAACTCTTTTCAACACCTTTAAGGATTAAAAAGATGTGAGTGGGACAAAAAAATCTAATCTATTTTTTCAGATATAAAATTCTTATCAGGACAGCTGTCCTGATGAGGATTTTATATCTGAAATTTCATCAGTTGGATTATTTTTATCCGAAATGCATGTCCACAGCAAGATATGAGCTCTTTTTTTAAGGTTTTTTAAATGACCTTTTGACCTGCCTAAAAGCAACCAGTGCCTATGTTTATATTTGTCTGTTTACAGAAGACAACAAAATGCTATATTGGTTCAAAGTAACTATACAAACAATTTCTTTCCTTCTTGATGGTCTGCTAGACAGAGGTCTATTGTTCTAGAGTGTCCACACTGGTTAATAACTGTAGTGGCAAACAATGGGGATTAGATTGGATTATCTCACTTCAGTAAGCACTGACCAAACTTGCAAAATACTTTACAATAAAGCTGAGATTAAATTTTAAATATCGTAAGTGTAGTTTAAGATTTTGTTTTTTTAAAGACTATTATTTAACCTTCTGTTAGTTGTCTAAGGTAATCAATTGTGCTTAACCTATTATTAACCTTTGATAGAGAAGGCTGATATTCTTGTACCAATTTATTTTCCCTATGCTCAACACAGTACCACAGTTCAGTCGAGGGGTAGACTTAACTTAGACTGTTGAATGGAGAAGAGATATACACAGGGATATATTTTAGTCCAGGTGAAAATTCTCAAAATTTAACAATACAAAAATTGGATCGGAGCAACTCCCATAAAATGTGACCGTTGTTTGTCTGGCCCTAGATGAACCGATATTACATCTGTGCTGTGACATCCGTGGAATGGGTAGGGCTAGATTTGTCAGAAAAGATATCCACATATGTGGAATAGTTCGGACAATTTATATATTGTTGTCTGAATGTTTTGGAAGTGGTAGTTGTCTTTAACCATTTCCGCCAAGGGGCGCAACCTTGGTAAAATCACATGTTCTCGCCGCCATTTGCACAAATCGGACGAAATTGTACCTGACTGTAATTATTATGTAAAATGCACAATAGTTATTTATATTAAACATGAAAAACACAACGTGAACTCTACTAATATCTTTGTGGAGCTACAATTATCCACAACATATGATGAAAATTGGTTTCTGTAGATCAGTCTGTTTGAGGGTGGGTTCTTTACATTACGTCATTTGACATAGCACAATGATAGCTTGTGATTGTCCGAAAACCTTGAATAAGTCATAATCACTGATAATTCCAGGCGACCCAGCTGTTAATGGGTAGGGATAATCCATGAAAGATGTATGGCAAGAAGTTTTGCCAAATACCAGCTGATAAAAAGAATCCTCTGTGAACCTCTGAAGTTGTTATCCTTGTAGTTGTTTGAATCTTTCTTTCTCTCTTTGGTCGCTTTTACCAGGTCAATTGTTTCTCAGTGTCTTTTATGCTGACTGTCATGAGCAGACATTGTTAAGGGAGGTAATTCATGTTGTATAAAAGTGATGAATGGTAGACTGTATTGATGTATTGATTTTTAATCGGCACCACACTTCTTAGCAATTATCTTTAAACTCGGTTACTTGGTCAATCAAATTCCAGGTCGTCATTGATGGAATTCTGTTCATATTGTTCCTGGAAGTCTAATTTTTTTTACTGGATACTGATTAAGGTCATGGTTTATACAGAAACATTTTAGGACAAACCTTCTGAGACATGTGTGGATGTTGGTAAATCGATGCTTCCATGAAATCTGCTTGTCTGTTTTTTGCAATTGCAGAAATACTCAAAAGTTTTGTCCATCTGAGACGAATACCTGGCCCATGGAAGCCAAAATCTTGAAAATACTGTCCAACAATTATTTTTTTTATTATATTAGATTTGTTGATTATGTATGTCAAAAAAATGAGATTTTAATATTTTTTCTTACAAATGTAATGAGTTTTCTATCAGTAGCATTCCAAAGACGGTACTTTTAACTGGGCTAACTTCTGTTAGTGATACAGATCGGTGGTTCTGTCAGTAAAAAATCTAGTCATTTGGATGGAACAATTAACCAAGAAGGACCCAGGAGCTACAAGCTGCACGTTAAAAATTCTTCAACAGTTTGAAATGGAAATAAGTACTGGGCTAATGCTGCACATCATGACTTTTTCCACCTCTTTTACAGTAGCAAAGTCTTAAAGATGGGTTTCCTTGTTTTTTTCAGCAAACTATTTGATTAATTAGTGTTTCTAATGAATTATCATGTATTCTTAATCATATCATAATGTTTTTATTGCATATAGTTAAGAGTTTTAACCAATCATAAATGTCCATGTATATACAGTCTGGATAAACAAAACAAGACTTTTTGACCTTTCTTGATTGGTCACTCCTTGGAATTCTGCAGGTAATTCTCTAATTTAGCTAATTTTTTCATAAATGAAATAAGGGAACCCATCTTTAAGTTTTTACCTGAACTGGTTTTGATCAGAATCAGCAAATTTGTATGATGTTTTGCAAACAACAATGTTTATATGGTTCTATTAGGTTAAGAAGCGCCATAAAAGTTCCCATGAACACAGCTTACCTCATTTATATTGTCTGTTTGAAAAAATCTGAAAATTGAGACCAGTAAATCTGCCTAGCCGTTTGATTCTGGACTGTTGAGAAGCCTCCAACATCCATTTTTGTAAAAATAAGATTTGTTTTGGCTCTGTGAAACATCCTAAATGTATTTTCGTAATATCATATTTCATTAAGTCTGGAACTGCTTTGAACTAAATTTGATGCAGGCTTCTTATGTCAACTAAAATCATGCTTTTCATAGCTTAAATCATCTTGTGCTGGGAAGTTGATATGCAGAAGTGTACATTTAATAAACATTGCTGTTCATCAAGAAAATGTACAGATTCATAAAGAAGTTGGAGTGGGTCAGCATGTTAGACCCTTGCTCTCTAATTTAGAGGTCACAGGTTCAATCCAGGCCAATCTAATTAGAATTAGAAAAAAAATTATTTTGTTATGATTTTTTTTTCGGTCTCCCTTGTAATCAACTAGATTTATATCAAGGTCACATACTGGTGGTCATGCTACAAGGTATTAATAGCAGTCAATCATGCACCACTCTCAATCTCCGACCAATCACAATTAATCAAGGCCTAGTAGAGGGTAGGCTAATTTCTCCTGTCATGGAAAAATTTCCCTCATTGTACACAGCATATTATTGCAACGTAGTGACTTTTTTCAGTTTGGCCAGAACTATAGTATTAACTATCAGCTGAGAGTCTCCACTATCAAATCAGACCATGCTTACTCTTTTCAAAACACCTGATGGTACTTTCTTTGGAGGCGTCCACTATACAACTTTTACTTCCGAATTTGCCATTATTGAGACGAGATGTTTGATTTGACGGAATTTTCTTTCTTGTAAGGAATCAAACTTTTCTATAGCTTGGCCTGAATTATGTTATCAGCTTAGAGCCTCCACTATATCATAAACTGCTATTGGATTTTTTTTGTGGCTAATCCCGGACGACACCTCATTTTATTGCACTCTTCATGTCTAATGACAGAAAATCAAACTTTCTCTGGCTTGGCCTGAACTATAGTATTTTCTATCAGCTGAGAGCCTCCACTATAAAATACACTGCTATTGGATTCTTCTGGTGGCCTCGTGTAAAATGAGGTAACTAGGTCAGTCCAACAGAAGCTTGGTGGCTCGGCTTGAAGAGTGCGAATTGACCCACCAAGCCTCAGTGTAAACAATCTCCTTTTCTACTCCGTGCTGCAGGCAGAATTGTGTCTTGAATTGTAAATTGAACGTAAAAGTTAAAGTGAAGGGATTTGGAAGTGTTTTTGTGCAGTGTTATAATATTTATAATGTGAATTATGACTTGGGATTGGAAGGATATTTTAACGGTAAATATATATTTATTTCAATTGCGTTGGATTGATTGGTATGATCTCTAGTTACTTAATGTAGTAGTGAATGGGTATCAGTATTGAATTTTATTGTAGAGACCAATGAACTTAAGATCTAGGTTTCGCTAATTTTTTAATTACCTTTGTCCTGATAAGGATTGTGTATTTATAACATGTCATCTTTATAGATGAGCTTTAGAATTGGTAAACATTACAAAGTATTTTCATGTTTTTAAGGGAATGGCATGATTGATTTGGGTTTGATTAAAGGGAATGGCACCATTGATTTAGGTTTGATGGAAGGGAATGGCACCATTGATTTAGGTTTGATTGAAGGGAATGGCACCATTGATATGGGTTTGGTTTAAGGGAATGGCACCATTGATTTGTGTTTGATTAAAGGGCATTTGGCACCATTGATAAGTGTTTGATTAAAGGGAATGGCAACTTTGATTTATGTTTGATTAAAGGGAATGGCACCATTAATTTAGGTTTGATTGAAGGGAATGGCACCTTTGATTTGTGTTTGATTAAAGGGAATGGCACCATTGATTTAGGTTTGATTGAAGGGAATGGCACCATTGATTTGGGTTTGATTGAAGGGAATGGCACCATTGATTTGGGTTTGATTATAGGGAATGGCTTCATTGATTTGTGTTTGATCAAAGGGAATGACTTCATTGATTTGGGTTTGATTTAAGGGAATGTCAGCATATATTTGGGTTTGATTAAAGGGAATGGCAGCATATATTCAGGATTTATTAAAGGGAATGGCACCATTGATTTTGGTATGATTAAACGGAATGACACCATTGATTTTGGTTTGATTAAAGGGAATGACATGATTGATTTAGGTTAGATTGAAGGGAATAGCATCATTGATTTGGGTTTGATTAAAGGGAATGTCAGCATATATTTGGGTTTGATTAAAAGGAATGTCAGCATATATTTGGGTTTGATTAAAGGGAATAGCATCATTGATTTGGGTTTGTTTAAAGGGAATGGCATCATTGATTTAAGTTTGATTTATTGCAATGTCATCATAATTTCATAGATTTGTTTTTTAAATGAATTTAGTATGTACATAAAAGTATTTTATTTACAGACATGAGTTTCTTCCGTTTTAAAGCGGAATTCTGCTTTTCGTCTTGTCGGATTCCAATTTTTTGTTAAACTTTCCGTTTTTTGGTCATATCCTTTTTTTTCACAAAAGTCTGCTCAAACTCTCGTACAGACTTTCTTTTCTTCCTGCAAGGAAAGACAACTCTGTATGAAAGATTGTTTCCGGTTTGATAATCTATTTAAGTTGTAAAAAGCGATATGATTGGTTGAAACATTCCTATCTCCCAATGAAAGATCGGATTATATCGCGGTATAAATGCTACGTTCGATATCACTCGTGAAAATAGTGTTTACGACTTTCTCGAAGTGCGAAAATCGTGCGCAAAACTGGAGACCGTTCGGACGATATTCACGACTTGGACGATGGACGACGAAATAATGTTAGCCATTTTTCCATGAGGTCAAGGTGAAGGCCGCAGAATTTGTGAAAATGGGTGTCGTAAAGTAGTAAATACGAGAAAAACCTAATATGGAACGGAAATTCACAACATTAACCCTGTGAACACAGTAATCACGAGAGGTGTTGAACGCAGCATTAATATCACTTTGGCTTTCAACAGCAGCATGGCTTCCAATGTTGTTGAATGCGATTTTGACACAAAATTATTAAATAACGGTTTGAAGAATGTGTGGAAATGGGAATGGCTGACAAAGAACTTGTTGGGCGATTTATCAGAAAATTAACAGAAAACAAGTTGCACATTGTAACTTGTATAGAAAGGACATAAATTTTGCGATGTGCCTTGACATTCAAATTTTCTGGTTTTTTTTTTAATAGCCAGAATCATGTCTGTATCTAATAAATGTGAAGTATTTTATCTAAACTTTCTGGATTTTTCAATGCATATAAGATAAAATTGTAACAGAATAATTGGCAAAGGTTGCAAGCAGTTTACTGAAAAATTGGGAAGGGTTTCATTTAATTCTAGTATGTTTGTTTTTCTTGAGTTATTTTGGTCCATGGTAGTTGGTTTGGCAGTATTTGACCGTATTGTGAGAATTCTACTGATATCAGTTGACATTGACAGTTGAAATTAAAAAAAGAGTTGGATTATGCCAATCTGCTCCAAAACCAAAAGTTTAAAGGTTTGGACAGACAATTGTAGAGTAAATCATTCTAAAATCATTTACAATACAGGAATAACCTAATTTTTTGTTGAGATTTTTGACATCTGTCCCAAAAGAAAAACTTACACCAAGTTGTAAGAATATGGATGGCAATTGCAATCAGTAAAGGGTAGATCATATTAAGATATTCCCATGCTGGAAAACCTAACCCGTTTCTAAATTTATTGTTGATATTTTTTTTTAGCCTGCTCAAAAAGTAAATATTCACCCCAATCCTGAGTGTATGTAGATTGAAATTGAGGTCAGTAGAGGGTGTAGTGAGGGTGGTTTTAGTAGGATATTATCTAAGTGAAATGTAGGTCAGGCTGTTAACCTAAACAGTGTTTTTATCTATTAGCTCTGTATATAATGTCTTTCTATATATTATGTTCTGATATCAACTGAATGATTGTAAAGGCTGGACATTTTTTACGACTTGGAATTTCCTAATGATTTGAGGTATTTTGAAATTTATTTTGTCATCAATCAAGGCTTATTATTTTTTAGAATATGGCAATCAGTGCAAAAATATGGAACTATCAATTATTTCTAAAAGGAAAAATATGACATTCGAAAATTCAAAAATGAATCTATGTCAAAACAAAGCAAAATGTTTTGGTTTATTTGAATGTGCACTCTCTGAAAGTAATTCCAAGTTATTTTAGAGTTTCTATCTCTCAAATTGGAAATTTGGGAATGATTTTTAGACTGATAATTCATAGAATAAGTCTTATCACTGAATTTTCACAATCCAAATAATGTTGAAATGTTATTTTGTCGTCTTTATGTCTCTTGCTTACATTAAGTAATTATTACATTAAATTACTTTCCTTAGGATATATATTTTCAATAGCTTGATTTTTGAGTAATTGTATAATATGAATTACTTATTTCTTTTTATACGCCCACATGAATATGTGGTCGTATATTGTCTTCGCCCCTGTCCGTCGGTCCGTCCGTCAACATTTCTTGTGAGCACTATAGAGACTACAGTTTTTATCTGATTTTGATAAAACTTGGTGTGATGCTTTAGATTGATAAGACCTCGGTCAAGTTTGAATTTGGCATATTTTCGATGAACGGTTTTTGAGATATTGCCCTTGACTTAGAACGCCTTGAAATTTGTTAAAAATTGTTCGTGAGCAGGATTGAAGCTACAGTTTTCATCAGATTCTGATGAAACTTGGTGTGATCTTTGGAATTCATAAGATCTCGGACAAGTTCTAACTTGACGCATTTTCAATGAACGGTTTTTGCCCTTGACTTTGTGAAAACGCGTCGAAATTTGTTCGTGAGCACAATAAAAGCTACAGTTTCCAACCGCTTCTGATGAAACTTGGTGTGATCATTGAAATTGATAAGATCTCGGACAAGTTCTAACTTGACGCATTTTCGATGAAATGTTTTTGAGTTAATACCATTAACTTACGCAAAACGCGTCAAAATTTGTTTGTGAGCACAATAGAAGCTACAGTTTTCAACTGATTCTGATAAAACTTGGTGTGATCATTGGAATTGATAAGATCTCGGACAAGTTCTAACAAGAGATATTTTTGATGAACATTTTTTGAGTTATTGCCCTTGACTTTGTAAACACGCGCCAAAAGTTGTTTTTTGCCCTTGATTAGAGCTGTGTGATTTAATTGTTTGTTGTATTTGGGTTATTGATATTGATTTTAAAAAATTTTGTGGAATTATTCAGCATAAATAATTTCTTCAATATGAGAAAATTCGTACTTTAGTCACTAAAGACTGTTTTATTATTTCTGACAGCCGCCAGTGGGCATATGTTACCTTGCAACGCAAGCTATCTTTATTTTATGAGTTGAAATTTTTCATAATAATTCGAAGTAGTTTGAAATGTCATTTTTCAGTCTTTCTGTCTCTTACTTATTTTTGAAATATTAAAACAGAACCTGTTTATGTTAAGTAATCAAGTCGTTTTTGTTATACTTGAATTACAAATAATAATTTGAAATACAATAATTCAGGGTATTTTGAAATGTCATTTTTCAGTCTTTCTGTCTAATACTTATCTTCCTGAAGGTTCAGGGTTCAATCCTTTTTGATGATTTATATGAGGACGGAATGAAAGAAAAACAATGTTTTATTTTTTAAAATGGAAATTGCAAGAACCACAGAGGACTGATTGAAAATTGGAATAGTGAAAATTGATATCATTAGTGTCCCTTATACACATAAAATTTTCTAAAAAACCTCTTTACAATTCCTTTAAGGTGCCAAAATCAGATACACACTGTCAAGAGCATTCTTGTAATTGGTGTGAGTTTTTCCTATTTTCCCCATACAAGGCCATGTTAACACATGACATCAACATATCTGGATTAAAAAGTAGGATGTAAAACTCAATTTCTTTTGGTTCTGTTTTATTTGATTTCGTTTCATTTTAACCTGTTCCAATCAGCCGTGTAAGTCTGTCAGAAAAGGTCATTTACACAGTACTTTATGTGGAACAGACGCTAGTATTCTCAGGTATGAGGCAAGAGATAAAAATAAATAATATTAAAATATCTAAAAATAACTCAAGCCAGGTTATCTAACTGGTAAATTCATACTTAATTTACCTTGAAAATAACTTTTACTAGATAGCCTATATTATACATGTAGCTCTTTTCAACTATCTGTATTCCTTTTCTAAATAACTTTTTACTTTAAATATATATTCACCATGAATTATAACAATAAAATAATGATTTTAATGTTGAATTATTTCATTAAATACATTGTTCAATGTACAAAATATAACAGTCCAACTACTGATCTTTGAGGAAAGCAAGATCTTCAAAATCTATGTCTCTTTTCCCTGGTTACTGGCTCAGATTTCTGAGTATCCTTCTCCAGCTGACACTCCAGGCGTCTGTTACCACTATCGCCATAATGGCCAATAAAAACGAAGCACACACCATTTTGTTCCACTGGATCATCTGGAAAAGGATTATTACTATTAGATATATATATAGAAAGAAAGAGACAACTATATTTTACAATTTAGGTTCATGAGGATCATTTCTACCTCATGGCATTGATCTTTCCCAGATAATCTCTACCCGTTTACAGCTGGGTCAACTGGAACTATGAGTGAAAATGACATTCAAGGTCATCAGACTTTTTCATGTTGATCGAGATTGGAATCCACAACCGCCATTTGTTGCATATAAAATTTTTTATACAACTGGTATTTGGATAAGAGCCAGTTCTGAATGTGAATTAGGGACATGTTTGCGAAACTCTTCCAGACTGTTGTGCAAAATCTCACAGAACCCATTTTACCTGAAGTCCGGTAATGTGTGCATTAAATTTCAACAAGATCTATTATTTCATCAGACTTGTAAAGAGGTTTTTCTTAATATTTGATGTGACTCGATTTGTTCCATCCCAAACTGATATCATAGCTAAACGGAATCCTTCTATAATCAAATATATCCATAAAAATTGTCAGCAAAAACTCTTAAAATATTTAAGCATTCATTGTTTATTTATTTTTTTTGTAATTTTATTTAT